TTAGTGTGAGTCTACAAAACACGTATCAGAAAAAAACAAACAAAAAAACGTAGGCCTATACGAGATTGTCAAACATTATTCCGGATTTTCTTGCTGTTTTCCAATCAACTTCGCAAAGTGTGGTCATCTCTCATCTTTCCTTGTGAACTAAGGCTTCTCTTCCATCTATTGATCAGTGAAATATATAGGCCTCTGCCAGATGCAAGTGATAGATAGTATATCTATTTTATCTACCATTGGCTTTCATTTTGTTCATGAATGTCTTTTTTGTCTATTGATTCAGACTACAAATGTATTCTTACAACATGCTTATGTATTACTCAAAATTTATGACAACTAAAGGGAGCCAAGTGACACAACCTTCTCTACATAAAGAAAATGGACAAATCTCGTGCCTTAGACTCGTGCCATTACCTTTGTTGACCTTAGCTGGAGTCCAGAGCTTGAGGATTACTCTATGCATAGCCCTACAGAACAAAATAAATAATTGCAGGCATTCTGTTACTCTATTTTAATTGATTTTTATGATGATTAATGCCATTATAGATGTTTTTCATAACCATTACATAGGTTTATCAGTATCTCCATGCGGGCCAATGCCAAATGACTACCAAATTATATTAGAAATGTTTAAGCAATATCCATGTATCACACACCAGCGTCCATTTGATTGCCGCTTTTTAGCATTTAGGCAAAGGCTATCAAACCGCCACACACGAGAATCTGTAAACTTTCCTATTATTTTATTGTCATATAAAGAACCAACCGAAGCTTGTCTTGTTAGGATAGCTAACTAAGGCCTTTGCTGAAATACAGAGTATGGAGACGGCAGCAAATGCCAGACATCGTGTCATTATTTTTACCCAACTTTATAGGCGTTTCATTACAAGTTATAATGTCTTTGAACAGAACATAACCAAGGAAGTTCAATTTTGAAAGCCAATAGGGATTAATGAGCAATTAAGCGTGATTCATTTACCAAATTGCTTGAAAGTGATTGAGAAGAATGAAAGGTACATATCTAGAGTTGGTTTGTAGCAAGCGATGCCATGATCGTGCTTCACACTCGGGAAAGGCTAATTAACTCCACCATGTCTAAGAAGGCACTAATAAGATTAAGCTTGGACTGGTTCTTTATTTGTCTTGAAATTGCTTGGGAGTTCTACAAGCTTGTATTTGGCTAGAATGAAGGTAGTGAAAATTATTGACCATTATAGGAGCCTGAAAGCATCAATATTGCTAGATGTTTAGATCCAGTGCTTTGATAGGACCAAGTTACCTTTACCTTTGAGTTGACTCGTATTCTAATGCCTAATTTTATTTATATGTTCTTTATATGCATTGCATGCTTTTTCTCTCTCTCATTCTGCAGTCCTGCTCAAGGTAATTACAGATTGATATCACGGCGAATATCAAAGAGTATCAGGCATTACAGTTTGGTTAATCTGTCTTTGTTCTGGTTGGCAGGGGATTGGCTGGTGCAGATAGAAACGTAGTAGATGCTAGATTTCCTAATGTATTTACTTTTTAGATGTCTGGTAATGCTAGGCATAAAGGCAATCATACTTTGTCATGTAGCACAAAATGTGTTCGGGCAGCATGCTGGCTGGTGTATGGCAAAAGACTAGAAAACCTCCGTCACACATCTTCAAAGCTTATAGACCTCCTTGACACTTAATTGACACCCCCCTCCCCCTAAAAGAAATGCAGTCCAAGCTCTGTCTTGCAAGGATATACATATTGAATGCTTGTTGGCCTTTGTTGAAGTGCGAAGTAAGGAGAGTGCAGGGATTACTTGACACAATGCCTCTATTATCCTGGTTCAGACTGTAGGCCTCCCATCATAGAGCACAACAAGTTTTGAAATGGATCTGCAAAGATTACAGCCCATATAATTACGAGAAAAAAAAATCCTATTCAGAAAGTCACTAAGTTGCCTCCTTGACATTTACCAAACTCACACTGAAGGAGACGAGATGCATGAAAGTTATGTAGCTCTTTAAATGATTCTAAGTGTATTCTAAGTGTATTATCAGCATCACTTATTTATAGTGATAAGCCTTCTGTCACTGATCACAAGTTTGAAGTAGATTTGGGTAAGACATTGCCAGTATAATTATGAAGAAGGCCTGTTTTGAAAGGTGCTAGGAGTAGGTACGATTTACATTTTTGAAGTACAGGGGTGAGGTTGAAATCTTAGTTACTGAATGATATCTATTTTTATTTAGTGTTGGGAATATTCTTATGGGAATAATTACTAGCATTTTTAGGAGTTTGAAGTGGCTTTTGTTTCACTTTTCTTTCTTCCCTTGTTTATTCAGTTCAAATATTATGAAGCATCAAAACTTCCTTAGTATATCACTAGGCATTATCTTTAGACAGGACAGATTCCTGTATCACTCTGCATATCTGTAATATAAATGTAATCAGCCTAAGCCACCTGCCGGAACCGGAAAAGTCAAAAGTCAACAGGAAGAAAGATCCTCGCAGAACCCACTAAAGAGGGAGGGGCCTACAGCCCTTTAGCTCTGGTCTCCATCCTGACAATAGGCCAGGGTTATTGCTATTTTGTTTTACAACTGAATCATTTATTATTAGTCAGATATCATTATTGGGTGTGAAGATGCTTGGCAGGATGCACACGGCCATCTTTAGTCTCATGATTTCCTTTTCATTAAGTGATAATCTCTGATAGGTAAGTAATATGCTGAGTGATTATTGGTTGGTTGGATTTTAGGTCTTACTTGTGTAGGAGTAATCTAACAGTTGTGTTGCATAGGAACATGAGCAGGAATATTTTAACCATTGTATATGATTCCTATTACAGAGACTTCAGAAAACTTTATTGCTTTGAGAAAGCTTGATTTTTACAATGCAGTTGCAGATTTATTGGATTTTGTAATCTTATTTGCCTTCTTTTAATTACATTTATTAGATATTTTAAGGTATTTATATATATTATGGAAGTGGATTATTTAGAAAGGTTTTTCACAGGTCTTTAATCTTCACAGGTTCAGCTGGTCATGTTAGCACCTCCATGTGCAGCCGGTGGTGCAGTGTGTTGTGGAGTTCCGGTGCTTTTGTTACTGCAACCCCACCTGCTGCTTCCCCCACTGCCTCCCCTGCTGGCTACATAAGGTGTGTAAAAGAATAATCAGTTTATCATTGCTGATAAGAGTTTGGAAAGAAAAGATATCTTATTGCATTTGAATTTTACTGTTTACAAGCTTGATTTTGACATCTATACCTTTCACAGAATAAAGCACACACCCACTAATCCTGCAGTCCCCTTCTTGACCATCACAGGTGCGACTAGCAGTGCCACGGGGAAGGGGAGGGTACCAAAGGGTGGAGGAAGTAGGGGAGAGAAGCAGGAACACTGGGAAGGGGACGCCAACCATCGTCTGGGTCAGGCAGTACAAACAGCAGCAGGATGTCGAAGCCCCCGTCTGACAAGCTCCCGACCTTCAAGCTGGTGGTGGTCGGGGATGGTGGTGTGGGCAAGTCGGCCCTCACCATTCAGTTCTTCCAGCGGCTGTTTGTCACTGACTATGACCCAACCATCGAAGACTCGTACATTCAGCACACTGAGGTGGATGCTCAGTGGTGTATCCTTGATGGTAAGAGGATTTTCTTGATACGTTTTTATTTTATTTTGGTCTGTTTATTTGTGGTGATAGTGCAATGTATACTTCACAGCTCAGATAAAAACTTCAAAATTTGCTATTGAGAATGAAATTATTATTATTTTTATTGGTATTAATGTTATTATTATTGAATTTTCTTTTGGTTAAAGTGTTTTGACATTGTTAGTTGAATAGGATACTTCATTCATATTATATGCATACCATATGTTTATATTTCATAGACCATATATGTTGTACAATAGTTTATGTATGTTTATGCTGGAATCAAACAAGCGTTGCTCAAACATTGATAGTCCTGTCATGGTTTTATGTTTAATTATATATGCCGTTATTCATTATTTTAAAAAGGAAACGATAACCAGACTTACATATATTTTGTGAAGGAATATATTCAACTGTGTTTTTCAATTTACGTATTTTTACAGCTTTACCTGTAAATACCAGTGATTTTATCCGACATAGCTTAAGTATAGGGAAGGAGTTTTATGACAGGTACTATATCCAAATTCATGTTCTCAGTTGCTGTAGGTGAATTTGCTAAAATGTTCTGCAGTATGCATGCTTTGCTGTGTAAAAATATATTGATAAGCTTCTTTACTTCTTCATATGGGAGGAGAGTAGTAATTCAAGTATCTGAGGATTCGAACATTATGGTAATCTGATGCAATTATAGTGAATGTTCTTAGTAGTAAGCTAGTGGCTCTCTTGATGCTCATGAATTATTAATTTTATTGGAATAATTCTTGGGGAATTTTTAAAATTCCCCAAGAATTATTCCTTGTAATATTTATGATGTTCCTTACTATAAAGTGAATTATGATTTTATTCAGCTATAAGGAGTATCTCTATTTGTTTGTATCAGTGAACCCAAAATTATTTGTAATTTGGTCCAATATTGCAAATGTAAAATTATAGCTAGACAATCGTACATGTGCAGTAGAACAGTGGATGTCAGAAATCTTTCAATGGGATTCTTATCTTTGTAGTCAATAAGCTCATAATAATGATCATGGTATATTTTTGTTGAAATGCGTATAGCTGGTCCTTCATTATCATTAGGCAGAATATCTCCCTAAAAGAATTCATAGCTGTTAGGTTCCATAAGGTGTGTGTTCTATTCTTTATTACAGATTTGATGTTCTGAGATAACTATAGATATTTTTTTCTTTTCTGTATACTTACAATGGTAATAATTCATGGAAAGTACCTTGAAATTTTAGAATTCCTTTGGGTGACTTATGTATAGACTGCAATTGTCCCTGTAAGAAGTGTATGAATTTTACTCTACGTTTTGATTCAGTAAAGCAAAGTGTGATTATACATGGTTCTTCATAGTACACAGTGCTGTAGCTTGGGACAGTTGTTTATCATTTCAGACAAATATTTCTGGAATACAGGAAATAGGAATGATTAAATATATGAAAAAAAGAAAGAAAAGATAATTAAGATTATACATGTTTGCGTAGAAAAAATTAAGAGGAAAGAATTCAGGGATTCTGCTATTTTGAATGTCAAAATATTTCAAAAGAGGTTCTGATTACTTTTTACAGACTGTAATATACATTTATTTTTATCATTCTTTACTGAAATAACCTTTTCCTTTCAGTGCTAGATACTGCAGGACAGGAAGAGTTCAGTGCAATGCGAGAGCAGTACATGCGGAAAGGAGACGGCTTCATGTTGGTATATTCGGTCACCGATAAGCAGAGCTATGAGAATATTCCACACTTCTACACACAAATTCTGCGTGTTAAGGATAGGTAAGTATGAGGAAGGAGACAAAGTATCAGTTATTTTGTTTTACTTTTTCTTTCTCTTCATTTTCTTTTTAGCAGTATTTTCTAAAATGTGGTATCCATGAAAAATAACTTTGCCTGTGTGGCATGCAATAAAAACTGTTTTTGATAAATTTTAAATACTTATATGCACTTAAATGCTAGTGTAAATGCACCTAGTAAATATATTAATTAATGTTGGTAGGGACACTGACAATGCAATTAGTGTAATTTGTAACAGAAGTTTTTGCACACAAATATGCACAAATACAGACAAGGCAAATTTTCTCATAGATTTCTGGTTGTCATTGGCATGAAATGAGTACATTCAAGTTAATTGTTTGATTTGAGGTTGTGAAGACTTTAGAAGGTTATTTTTGCCACTCTGAGTCTCGTTTGGGATGTTAACCAAATTCGCTAGCATATTCTGAAAGTTGAACTATGTGGAAAGACCCTCTAGGATGGAAATACGCAAGATAGAGGGCTTCTTTTATTGTAACAGAATTGATATCAGTCCCTTCGGTTTTGAAGGGGAAAATATGGATATATATTTGTACTGAAATTTGACCAAAGTAGTCAGTGAAACAAAGAGGAGCATGTATATGGATATTTAGAGCTTGCAGTAATAGTTGTTTTGATATCTTGGTGTCTGTATTGGTTTTAAGGTGTATTGGTTACGTGATTACTCAACCTTAATTTATTGTACACTGGGGTAAAAAAGTACTCATCCAAAAGTACATAAGTATGGAACATATCTTAAGACATGTAGAACATGATATATCATGTTTTGTACAAAAAAGATTCAGGATGCTTTAGCATCCAAATGTAAAACCAAAGAATCATTCAAAGGTAAACCTTTGATTTTCACATTAGCAATACAGTTAGTTTTGTCTTTTATTCCCGTAATTGGATGGACAAACAATATTGTAGTGTCTCATTATGAGTGTCCAGAATTTATTGCAAAAGTCATGGAAACTTTTGGAAGTAGTTGTATTTCTTCAATCATAATTTGAATCATAGCTTAAATAGTAGCAAGATGGGCCTATGGCAAATACCGTTAGTTTGAACTGCAACTAGGTGTAACACACACAGCACATGAATATGCTCACATGTGTATACATGTCAGGTCTACATAGAAATAATATTCTCTGTATCCTGAAGAACACTAGGACTCAATATCCCAATGAACCACCTTATGAAAGGAGTTAGTTGCTCAGTGGTGAGTAAAGAGAAGACATGGAAGGGAGTTGCCCTTGTGATTGTAACTGTCTTGTGTTTGACCCGCTCACTTTTGCCTTTCCCTTTTTTCTCAAATCTTAGAGGGTTTGCTTCTTGATGTATCAGTTAGTGTCTCTTCTTGTCCAACTTTGACATTAGCTTACAAGGAAAACTGATTCATAATAATTATGTATTTCTAGGTATACACTATGATGGATTCATTATGATCAGGGTGTAAACAATCACATAGAAGCGACTTAGCTTTATACTGATGTAAATCTAACCCAAATTATTGTATCATGACAACTGATTCATGTATTATTATTATTTTTATTGTTATTAATTTTTTTATTAATATTATTGCTGCTATTATTATTATTATTATTGTTATTTATTATGTTATTAACATTATTGCTGATATTATTTTTTTTTTTTTATCATTGTTGTTATTGTTATGATGATGATTACAGTTATGATGATGATTATTATTATAGGGGGAATTCATCAGTTGTCTGTAATGAAAGTTCCCCTTGTTTTATATTTTTACAGTTACTCTGAGGTTTCATTCCATGTAGGCCTACTCTCATTAAGAATAAGGTTCTAACAAATTGTAGGTGTGAAATTCAGTTGATAGAGATAGCTAGACAAAATATATTCAGTCAAGAGTAGGTTTTGTAACGTTCATCAAGTATAGTGCGGACTATGCTATTTTCTCTTTGTTAATCCTCATTTGGGTAGTTGTTCTTGGATATTTAGGAAGTTTGTTTTTCTTTTGAATTTTAATCATTTATTTATTATTTATTTTTTTTTTTTTTGTGAGTATGGAATAGAATTTCATTTCATCTGTTTATATTGTCATCATTTATTTATTTTTTATATTTTTTATTTTTTTTATTTTTTTCACATTTGATACTTCAGTTGAGCATGTATGTATTCGTGCCTAATTTGTGATGATCTGATTTGTATGCTTGTTTTTAGTTTTATTAATTTCAGATGAAATTTTGATTTATTTACTGTGTAAAATACTAAAAGGAAAGAAAAGCATTTGTTTTGTACTTTGTGAGTTGTTTCCTCAGAATATTTAATTCTTCTGTCTTGTTTGAATTTCTGTTTTTCTCTTTCATTATCTATTCTCTTACATGAATACTTTGTGAAGAAAAATAGAAATGAATACATAGTGTGGAGAGTTGGCCCTTGTCTTTTTGTTTAGCGTATATTATGTAAAAGTTTTCATTAACCCTACCATGACAAGGCCAGAATTTTTTGTTATACAGTATTATGCAACAGTATAGACTTTGTGGCTAGGCCTAAGCTGTGTACAGCTGGCCCATTCATTGCGAGTTCTGATGTGCATACACATCATACGCCACTAAGTCATGATGGCTACAGCTGTACCCATCACTGAAGGGGTAACTATTGCTGTCCTTAGTTGAAAAAGGAGAGACATGGTTACTGGCTTAAAAAAAAACAATTTAAAGCATTATTGCATTCATATATTTGTGTCTACTTTTTTCTTGAGCATTTCAAGTTGCCTTTTTGGGGGGTTTTATTTATATTTTGTAAAGGACAAATTAAGACAAATCTGCCCCTTGAAGAAAACGCCCAAGGGTTTTTATTATTTGCGGAATTGTAGCTATGAATACCACAACCTCACGCTATACTTTTAACAAAATTAGAATGGGAATTTTTAAGCAAAATTCATATATGTGGTGTGTAGGACCATGTTATCTCTATCTATGTATGATTATATGTATGTATATATATAGAGAGAGGGAGAGACAGCGATTGAGAAAGACTTATTAATTGATTGATAGGTAGTTATCGGTTTGCGGTAGATTTCTGTTCCTGAATCCATACAGTAGAATTAAATGATTTACTCTCACAATATATGAAAATAATTGAATCTGGTAAAGTAAAAGCTAGGTAAGTAATATAAGTTATGTAAATTGTTATACAATATGCTCTTCGTGGTAGGCTGTAGAGAAGGGGGGAAGTGGGAGACTGGAGACACATTCAAAATCCTGAGAACCATTCAAAGATACATCAAACTATACTATGAAGCTAATGTTATTTTAAATCACTAGTACTGAAAAAGCAAGAGTCATATAAATACAAATTCATGTATGCATACATATGTATACATTATATATATAATATATATATATATATATATATATATATATATATATATATATATATATATATATATATATATATATATATATATATATATATATATATATATTTATATTTATATAGATATTTGTATTGATTATTTTTTTTATGAAACTTTGTTTACGCTAATTTCTTGGAGTGAACATGTGTATTATGTTCATATTTTACAGTTCAACAATGATGAATAAGGTATTTTGTGTAAGTTGGTATGCACAGTAAAAACAGATGTGCCTTTCTTTCATTAGGTCCATTATAGGAGATTGTAATTGTGTTTGGGCTAACTGCACAGAGAGCCTTCATCCTCTTGAAGGGTTACTGAGCTAATGTTTGTCATTGCACCTGGAAGGAGGATTAGGGAGATGAGAGAGATTCGAATTAAGCAACTTGGAGTTTAGGATTTTCTTTTCTTTTTTTTAATGTGAATGATGGCATGTTAATGAGTGTGCTTGCACCATAGTATTCTGATCTTGAGCAAATTTAGATGGACTATTGCAGATCAGGCAGGGGTAGTGGTTTCTGCCTCCCTCCCTCCCCCTTGTTGCAAGCATATACAGAAGACTCTGGGACTGTGGTCAGGGATGTAACTTGTATCTTTTAGTGATTCAGTTGTTTAAATTAGTAAGTGAAGACATAGAAACAAAGGCTTTATATTGGTATATTCTTCCTTTTATTTCTGTATTCTGTGTAGTTATATGGTGATTTTTTTTTTTTTTTTTAGTTTAGTTTAGTTTAGTTTAGGTGGTGTGAAATTTAATGCTTGTGAAGGTTTTCAGAACAACAGGAGTTATTTAAGGATTTAGTGTAAAAATTGTAATGGCATATGGTAAATTTGGTTGAATATAGTTTTGTTATTCATTTTGTAAAGGTTGGGTTCATGTTTGATTGGTTTATTTGCAGTGTAGGTGGAGGATAAATCTGGATGAAATAACATATGTGTGCATGTTAGAATGTGAGTGTGCGTGACAGCATGTAAAACTGTATGCTGCATGTTACTGCATATGTGTGTATTGTTGGAGAATGTATTCATTAACTGTTGGGGGAATTTTTGAATTTTGAATTATTAGAACATTGTTGAACAAGTACTAGTGTTTGGGGGCTTGTTGGTTTGTATTTTTGAGAAAGAGAGAAGCGAAAATGAGATGACAGTGTGTGTTTGTTTGCGTGTATGTGTATATTAGAATGTATATATCTATTTATTCTTTTCAGCCAAAATAGATTTCTCTTGAAAGTAGTCAGTATTTTATGAGATATTGTCCATTATTTATGATTATCATTTGAAAAATATTTGAGTAGATAGGCCTGGAATAAAAGGAATTATATTGGAATTTCAGTTACAGTTACTGTGATATTCTTCCAGATCTTGCTTAAAGTCACTTGATTTTGTAGAGCTTGGAAATTATGACAGGGTTGTATTGCTCTCCGATCAGCATGTGTTCGTCGCAAAGCTCCTTCTGTGTCCTGTTTTTTTGCATCAGTAGCAGTGATTTACTGGAATTATGACATTTGTCTGCTTTTTTCTAGATTTTTTTTCTGGTGTGGATGTATTTGTTCCTGAATCATCTTGTTGAGTATTTCTGGCAAGAAAGAAAGAAAGAAAAATCTGTGCCCAGAGTTTTCTGTAAATGTTGCTTTGGTCCCTTCAAAGAGAAGAAAGGGAGGAAAATAAAGAGAGTCTGCCCCATTTTTGTTAAGATTTTCTCTACATTTCTCTGTGATTGTGCACTGAAACCTCCTTGTTGTTATGACGTATTTATCTCATTTCTGCTTCATTTTATAGGAGAATCTTGTAAGTATTTTGCTTGGAGTACCTATATCTATTTATTTCCCCCTTCCTCTTCATCTTAGCTGTTCATTTGTTTCTCATTCATTTTCTCTGTTTGTCCTCTCAGTGTCTGAAAGTATGCCAGTATATTTTGTGCCGTTATTGTTCTTATCGTTTCTCTTGGTTTGATTGCTTATTCTTAATAAGTGACCTTATATGTATCACTTTCTTTGTCTCTAATGGTTTGGTACTTTGCTCAGACTTATTTGGTTACTTAGTTACTGGGTTTCAGCTTTAGATTGCTGACTGCTTCATGTTTTTCATATGTATGTATCAATTTGTTGTTAGTGTTATTTATTTATTTATTGACTGGTAACATGTAATGGTTTATTGAAAGTATTTGTTCCTTCTAAGCTTGATAAGAGTAATGTTAGGTAAATGTCACGATATTATTCTTGCTAGAATGCAAGTACCTAACATTCTTTTGAAAGTTTGGTTCACATGCCGATTGAATATATACCCTTCCACTATTGTCACCTCTTCTCCTTGGCATCTAAGCTCCTCCTTAGTGTTAAGGGAAGTCTCAACTCTCCCAAGTACCCTAGCAGCTCCCAGTAGCAGTAGAAGACCCGCGGCAGTGTTTTTGCGCCACACCTGACAGCCCCCACAAGCCCTTTTAGAGTGCCCACGCAGCCTCTTGCATATCAGAGAAACCACCGAGAGTCTAAGTTTGGAACGCTCCCAATTGCTGAGTAAGGGCTTTTTCCGGTCATCCCACAGACGGTAGAGAGTCCCACCCAAATTTGGTGGCCATGGTTTCCAAGTGTCTCATTGAACCCGTCTACTTTTCAGAGAGTCGTACCCGATGCTTCTGGTGGCCAACAAGGTGGATCTGGTACACATGAGGAAGGTGTCTGAGGAAATGGGCCGGGAACTCGCTCACAGGCTGAACCTCTCCTACATAGAAACTAGTGCGAAGGATCCACCACTCAATGTTGATTCGGCATTCCATGAGGTGCGGTGTTTGTGAATTCCTTTCCTTTTATGCTCTCTCTCTCTCTCTCTCTCTCTCTCTCTCTCTCTCTCTCTCTCTCTCTCTCTCTCTCTCTCTCTCTCTCTCTCTCTCTCTCTTTCTTTCTTTCTTTCTTTCTTTCTTTCTTTCATTCATTCATTCATTCATTCATTCATTCATTCATTCATTCATTCATTCATTCATTCATTCATTCATTCATTCATTCATTCATTCATTCATCATTCATCACTCACTCACTCACTCACTCACTCACTCACTCACTCTCTCACTCTCTCACTCACTCACTCACTCACTCACTCACTCACTCACTCACTATCTCTATCTCGTCCTCTCCTCTCCTCTCCTCTCCTCTCCTCTCGTCTTCCCTCTCTCTTCCTCATTTTTTTTTTATGTCGTTGTTGTGCATAGCATGTAGATATTAATGTATAGTTATGACTGTAATAGGGAAAAAGTCTCCATATGAATTTTTTTTCAGTGTCACTAATTTATGATGCTATTTATTTTTCATTATTAATGTGATTAATATTTATTCATTATTAGGCTAAGAGGTTCATGTAAATATTGGTGAAAAAAATAAGAAATAGCTATTGGACAGTTGATTCTTCTTAACCTTTAAGAATTGCAGGAAAATTGGTAATGGTCTGATTCCACTTTGATCTAGTAGAAAAGATTAGAAATATGTTGTATTTGTATTTATATAATGCACTTGCAAAATTTCTCATCCATTACTACAAACACATACTAGACTTGTATGCACATATTTGCACAAGAACCAGATGAGGAGAGTGAATTTAGCTCATTTTAGTTGTACAGAATGAGGAGAAACTTGTAGATATGCTATACTCTTCTTAGTACAAGGAAATTTTAAAATGGTTGGTTCTGAGTTTTTGTTTTTCTCTCATTATATGTGTAGTGTTCAGTGTCCATGCCTGTTAATGACCTGAATTCATCTTTATGTAATATCAGACTCCTCTAATATTATAGTAAACTTGTATTGATTACAAAGGACCATTTATCCTTAGAGTAAAAGTTCACATGGGATGGAGATATATATATTTTTTTACAGATAGTAAATAGATAAAACTTATAGATGCAGTTGTTATCAAAATTAAGAAAATGTTTTGAACAGTATCAGGAAGTCTTTTGCTTTTTTTCTCTTCAGCATTTCAAATTGCAGTTATTAATAGTTCAGAACACATCATGGTTTTAAATATTAGATATGATATAAATAAAAAAGAAAGAAAGAAAAAAAATACAAGTATATGTAAAGCATATGCACACTATATAGACAGACAAAATAATGAATAAAAGATGTAGCTAAAAATTGTTATACAGATGGCATGCATTGGAACTGTTATGACTTGTCTTATTTGAATTTCTTAAGAGTACCTTTACACTCATAACTGTGAGTACATGTTTAAAGATCAATTACACTTGCAATATATAGAGAGCAAACTGGCAAGGTTGAAATGATAGAGCTTGTGGTAAGGTTTTTAATTGTCAGTGTTTTGGGATAATGCCTAGAAAAGTTGATTTTGTTCAAGGGAATTTGAAGCTTCACAATTGTGGATTGTTTTTGTTTTTTTTAGGCTGAAATTACTTATGTGCATTTTGCACATATAGAGCAAGCTTATGAGAAACCATGTGAATATTATTTTTTCTTTTTTTTTATGTTGATATTACTTTTCACGCATTTCACATGTACACAGTTTTTTGTTAGTGGTATTACGATGAGCTTGTGAATGACAGAGTTATGATTATCTCTTTTAGCATTTTTCTGGCAATCTTTCTAAGACAATGAATATATAGAAATGAAAATTTGTGTTATATTGTTTTAGACTTGGATTACAAAGAAGAATGTTATTTAGCAACCAGAAATTTTTTGGGGAAATACAAAGTAAAGATAAAAAAGAAAATGGAAGAAAAATGTGAAGACCTAGTAATTTAACCCCTAAGAGGTTGACCTACTATTAAGCCATTTACCATTACCTGTAAAGATGTATTATACCATACATTCTATAGGCTGATAGAAAATATGTTTTTGGTTTCAACTCATTCAATTTCCCAAGAGGGTTGAGGGGGAAGGGCAGTGAAAATGAAGCAAAAAGTTGCCATATTAGAAGTTGTATTTTCCGAGCATGAAGTTCTCATGCAGATACTTTGCTTTGCGACATGCATCTAGCTCATGACATTTTAGATTAAAATGTTGAAATAAGATTCTGGAAACAAGTGTTCTTGACAACATTATGAAAAGGACCCGCATATTTTCTTGTTATTCATTATGAATACGTTCAAATGTAAGTCCTGAAGGGATCATGTATATTGATTAATTTACTTTTAATATCAAATGTATGTCCTGAAGGGATCATGTATATTGATTAATTTACTTTTAATAACTTGAGACTATTTTGGGATAAAGTACTCCATTATTAACAGAATATTTTTAATCCCACAGGTTGTTCGCATCATCCGGAACTCTCCACCAGTGTACGGGCCTCCAAAGGGCAAAGGGAAGGGAAAGTGCGTAATTATGTAAGTGCTTTGAACCTGAGTTTAATCCACCACCCAATGTATGTTATTGGTTCATCAAGTAAATCCAAACCACGATTGTACAAAGCTTTTTGGGCATTGAGACATTGAATTCTTGGAGATGTGTTCCCCCCTTTCTGAAATTTCTTCTGAGTTTTTGTCGTTGCGGAAAGGATAAAAACACGCCTGAGTTGACATTGGGTTGGAGGACATCACAAAGGAGTGGGGCAGTGTGTGGATCACGAAAAATAACTTACAGTAAATGTTTTGTGCCATAAGTGTTCCTGAAAGGGCAAGACCTGGAATAATACAAGCTGCAGCTTACACCTCCCCATTCATAACGTGATGCACTGATCGCAGCTACCGTATATCTGGTAACCAAAGCTGTAACACTCCTTTGGGGTGATTTTATTTTTTTCTTTCTTTTTGTTATGTATTAAGTATATATGTATTTTTCTTTCCATTTTTTTTACAATGGATTTTTGTGTTATGTTTCCCATATAGCTGTTGGGTTGTATGCAGTCTTATATGTGTTTTCATCATGTATGTACCAGATTAACAATTTTATTGAACAGTTGATTGAGTATTTTAGCTAAAACTTTTTTGGTGTCAAGTGTGGCTTAAGTGGATATTACAAAATTCTTGATCATCGTAGATGGTAATTTTGTGTAATGTTGTGTTTTAATTCAATATTATATGTTGTTCAAGTATGGGTACCATACTTTACAGATGCATATAAATATATATATTAATGCACTTTTAGTATTATCAACAAGCTTTAAATTAGTTGTTTAACTTAATCTTTCACAACATACCAAAGGATAAGGAGGATTCTGCTGCAAGCACCTCCATTACTTTTTTAAAAGTTTTTATGATTTGACTGGTGGGTTTCACCTGGAAGAATTTGTTTGAGGATATGAATTTATCCTTTACATAGAGGATTACTAAATTATTGTTTCCTCAGCTCAAACACAAGCACAAATAAGATGTCTTTACCAGACATTCTACAGGAGTGCTCAAATTACCTATTTTTATTTCAATTGTATTTATTCAATTGAGCTTATTTTACCAATACATGACTGTAATTTCACAGTGGATCTAAATGTCAGATGTAATAGCTCTCTTAGCAGATATATATTTATGAGTATTCTTATTTGACTGAAAGCAACACAAACAAAATGTGTTTAAAAAGAAAAAAATCTGGCCTATGAGGTAATGTTGTGTAGATCAGTTGTCCAAAAAGTAAAAAATAAGACGTATAAAGCTATAAAAAAAAGTAAGTCTCAGACTTTGGGAAGCGTACGACAGAAGCTATGGAAAGAAAGGTTATTATGCTTGTCTGTCGTGTTGTGTCAGGTACCCCTTCTCCCCCAAGTTGGCCCCCCCAAGCCCTCATGACTCCCCCCTTGAGTAGGTTTGGTGGGGGCCCATGGGGTAAGGCACAACCCCTCATGTTCCGTAGTTAAGAGGCGCCCTCACATTCTATCTTTGGGGAAATAATACTTTAAAATAAAAGTATAGTATTGCTTGATTAAAGGGTATTAACATTCCCGAGAAACAAGCAACATGAAAGCCAAAAATATGTCTTCATTGGGTCCGTAGCTTCCGGCGAGTGCTTCCCAAGTCCAGGTCATTAGTTTCTTGAATAGGCCCAGACACTTGGATTAGATATGTTATTTCAAATAGTTTTCTTAGAAGTCTTCAGGTTGTACTTATGGAAATGTGACATAGTGACCTCTAAATAGTAATGTTTCTCAATTAATTGTGTTTCCTGGCTGAATTATACTGAAAAACAAAAGCAAAAAACAAAAATGAACTCATGGAATAGTCAATACTTAGGGTCACAATGTAGTAGATCTCTTAGCATTCACAAAGTTTCACATATACCAGCTGAGGTGCATTGGATGTTCTCCAGCTTATATGATTCTACTACAACTTCAATTGGCAATTAAATTGAAAAGCAAAAGAAGTAAAAAGTAAAGTAAAGTAAAAAAAAAAAAAAAAAAAAAAAAAAAAAAAGGAAAGGTGAGTTAAGTAAACATTTGCAAGTGAGTTATAATAAGTAAATAATGATAACGAATAAATAAATGATTAAATAATAACAGTAATGGAAGAACTCTCTGTGGACCAAGAACAGAATGAACATCAGAAGTCCACCAGTAAGTTTAAAAGTTTTGGAGAATGCCAGACCCACTTTGTTCCCTCTCCTGTCTCTCTGGGCACGTCTGCGCTGGCTGCCCTTCAGCATCATCTCCCCCGTAAGGCTGGTGGGCAGTGAGTCCTAGGCGGGGCGGAGAGAAACAGGGAGGGATCCACTTCTCATTTGGTATTATTCCACAGTAGAATAATAGAACCTTCCTAGAGAACTGTTGTAAACTCTATTTTTTTGTGAAGTACATGTTGTATGGATGTCCCAGATATTATGATGAATATAATAGTTAATATAATTGCAGTGAAGACTGTTCTCATAGTGTGCCCTTGACCAATGAACGCAGCCTTTTGGAGTTGGTGCTCAAATACCCCACTCAAGCATCATCTCCAGAGGCATTGCTAGCTCTATAGTTCAAGGCAAGTGGTGGTGTGTACTATTATGTAATTATGTGTCCAGATCTGTATTTGCTGTAAAAAATGTCAAAAGTGATTTAATGTTCCTCTTGTCATTAGTCATGGCTCAGTCCTGAGTGGTTTTAAAAGTCTGTAAGGATGTTTATAACTGTACCCAAGGCTTTTTAATGCTCAAACCCACAGAGAATATGGTTGTGGAGCTTAGCACAATCTTCTTGTGTAACTAGTGCTACAGACACACAGTATGGTGCATCGATATGCATCATAATTTGCAGAGTTTGATATGAAATGGTTTTGGTTTGCCCTGTACAAGATTTCACCTGTGAGAATCATAGGGCACAGTTACCCATCTAGAAAAGGACGGTAACTGCATGTGCACTGTAACTTAAGTGGAAAGCGACCTGGCAAGAAAAGTGTAAATAAATGTGGATTTTGATAATTAACAAACAGCTGGTTGATTACGTGGTCTAAACCCAGACACGCCATTGAGAAGTGCTTAATGAATGATGTCAACAGAAGATGGCATTGGAGTGACTTCCAGAAAGCTTTATTGAGGTTTGTAAAGAATAGGAATGAAGCCATTTTATATTACTGTATTTGAGATGAATATCTTTAAAAGGATATGAAATTGTACCAAAGAATCTGTTGGTCATTCTGAACAGATGAGTTAGTAATACATTATTAGCAGCAGTATTAATTAAACTGTTTCTGGACTAATAAAGATCAGATGTGACATGTTTGTCGGTGTATTGCGCATACAACTTGAGCCAGACTGCCATTAAAAGTAAATGTAGTA